GCGTCGCGCGTATAATTTGTACCGTTTCCCTTCCGTTTCCTTCCTCGGTGCCTCCTGTTAGCCGATGGCTAAGTTTCCGGCGTCTGATTGGTCCGTGACAGTGTGACGGAGTTGGAGGGAGTTATAAAAGCGGGTGTAAGGAGTAAGAAAAGGACTCTTGGACTTTTTCGAGAAAGAAAGGGAGAGAACCGCAGACGAAAAAGGAGAGAAGAGCGACCGAGAAGAGAGTGGACCGTTGGTAGAAGAAAGGAAGTTGCGACTCGAAAAGAAGAAGATTCCCCATCGAAGCCCACAATCGGACCGCTACGACAGAACCCTTGCAAGTCCCTTAGGTACTCCGTCCACAATATTTTTATTTTCGGATCTATATTTAATTGTCGAAAAAAAGAACGGGGCCTCGCGTGAGGAAGGTTAACGGAAAGGGGAACATCAGGCTATTTCGTTATTTGTTACAATATCTGTCGGGTGTTGGACTGTTTATTGAGATATATATTGTACCGCGTTTTTCTTTTACTAAAATAAACCTTTGTTTGCCTGATCACACGTGTCTACCGATTTTTCATTGTCCTTCCCTTTGTTCTTTCTATCGTATATCTGTAACCGCAGACCACGTGCCTTGCGGAGTTCACAGATGTAAACAAATGTATGGGGTTTATTGTTTATTGCTGTTTTTTCTTTCTTGGACATCTGAAAGATGTATTGTCATTGTGCTCATTGACATAAAATTTAAATTGAAAATAAATAAATAAAACGAGAATAAAATATAAATTAAGTAAACTTTTTGTACAAATACTTTAAAATCTGTAAAAATAAACAATAATTTTTGTCGTCTATCAAGAATAAAATATATCTTTAAGAATAAATACCATCTGTTTCATATATTTTGTAACTCCAATTTCTGTAAATTGGAACTTAATTTCCATTAAACCATATATTATATTTTATACACATACCTGTACAAGAAGGGAAGAAAATGGCAACAAGAACTGTAAATGAAGTTGTAATATCTACAATAACTTGATTATATGTTTTTTCTGTATGAGATGATTCTTCATGAACTTCAGATAAAGAAATGATATCACCTTTACTTCTAAAGTTTGGTTGAATGTTCTCTATAAAAAAAAATTTATGATTAAATTCAAAAATTTTAATTTAATTATATAAAATTTATTATTTCTTATATCATTATGCAATATTAGAAAAAAATGAGCTAAAATAGCATGTGATGGTGCAGCAGATATACTTCCATATTAATCAATTAAAAGTTACAAAATGAGAATAACAATGATCATTTTAATAAGCACTACACATAAAATCAAAATCCAATAAGAAACTACAAAAATCTACATAAAAGCAAATGTTTTCATCTGTGTTGAATGGTTATTGTCAGGCTAAAAAAAACCTTCTCACTGCAAAGGTCTTTTAGCCTTTACATAACCAATGATGACCAAAAAGCCCCTGAAATTTACAAAAAACTTATTAGGGATGACAGGTTCCAAAAGGATCTAATATATATACAGTGGTACCTCAGGATACGAAATTAATCCGTTCCGAAACTGAGATTGTATCATGAAAATGTCGTAAGGGGATCATCTTTTCCCATACGATTACATGTAAAACCAAATAATTCGTTCCAACGCGAAAAACATACTCAAATTAAAGCCAAGTAATACATTAAAAAAATAACTGTAAGTNAAAAGATCAAAATTTTAAATATTAAATTTAAAACTTACCCAAAATTTATATAAGTTAAAAGAAATAACTTACATGTAACAGCTAAAAATAGCTTTATTTTAATAAGAAGAAAAATTAAATTTGTAGCACCGTACATTTAATTAAAAAAATAAACATTTTTGAGTCTACTTTAGTCTAGTGTCAGAGTGATTTCAAACTGAATGACTTAGAAAGATTAAATAATAATAAAATTGAGTTTAACCCTTTAAAATTATCACCAATATACCTATAAAGATATCAGTTTCAATAAAACTTATTACACTGTATTTGCTAATAGAAATATTATGCAAGATATCAGAAATATCCGTTTAGTTATAGATAATATTGAAATACAGAAAATCAAAATTATAAGATATTTAAATCTATATATTAATCAACATTTAGGATGGATTGTACATATCAATTAACTTTGTAAAGCTAGCAAAATTCATTGGTATAATAAATTAATTCAAAAGTTATTTTGCATTTATATAAAACAGTTATGAAACCAAAACTCTCTTATGAAATAATTATATGAGGAAACACCTGTAATTACTTTATGACAAAAAATACAAGTAACACAGAAAAAAATTAATAGAAACTGTTTCAATATTGAAGAATATACTTCTGTTGTGCTTTTATACAATAAAGTAAAAAAGGGTATTACAATATAAAACTATTGTTTACAAAGCAAGTTATCTATTTGTATCTAAACATTTATACAATATTGAATATCAGCACAATTTCTTCCTCCTGTATTAAAAATATGAAATAATATCCTAGTAAACTGCAATCTGGATGGTAAGTGTTTTTAATATTAATATTAACCCAGGTTTTCAGTTGTTACTACATGCTATCCAAAAAACAGATTATATACTTCTGAATCATAAATGTTTCATAGGTCAACATTTAATAATAATTATGGTTATTAAAGTGTGAAATAATATTCATTCTAAAATAATGAAATTGACCAACTTTAAAACTAATAAATTGAAATTTAAAAAGCTGTACATTCTAAACCAATTAATAATTAATCATAATTACTGTGTATCACTAACAATTTGTGCAATGTATATTGTGATGTGTAGCACTTCGTTGCTATGATTGTATTATATATATTTTTTTTTCTGTTTTCCGTTTATGTCGCGTCGCGCGTATAATTTGTACCGTTTCCCTTCCGTTTCCTTCCTCGGTGCCTCCTGTTAGCCGATGGCTAAGTTTCCGGCGTCTGATTGGTCCGTGACAGTGTGACGGAGTTGGAGGGAGTTATAAAAGCGGGTGTAAGGAGTAAGAAAAGGACTCTTGGACTTTTTCGAGAAAGAAAGGGAGAGAACCGCATACAAAAAGAGAGAGAAGAGCGACCGAGAAGAGAGTGGACCGTTGGTAGAAGAAAGGAAGTTGCGACTCGAAAAGAAGAAGATTCCCCATCGAAGCCCACAATCGGACCGCTACGACAGAACCCTTGCAAGTCCCTTAGGTACTCCGTCCACAATATTTTTATTTTCGGATCTATATTTAATTGTCGAAAAAAAAAACGGGGCCTCGCGTGAGGAAGGTTAACGGAAAGGGGAACATCAGGCTATTTCGTTATTTGTTACAATATCTGTCGGGTGTTGGACTGTTTATTGAGATATATATTGTACCGCGTTTTTCTTTTACTAAAATAAACCTTTGTTTGCCTGATCACACGTGTCTACCGATTTTTCATTGTCCTTCCCTTTGTTCTTTCTATCGTATATCTGTAACCGCAGACCACGTGCCTTGCGGAGTTCACAGATGTAAACAAATGTATGGGGTTTATTGTTTATTGCTGTTTTTTCTTTCTTGGACATCTGAAAGATGTATTGTCATTGTGCTCATTGACATAAAATTTAAATTGAAAATAAATAAATAAAACGAGAATAAAATATAAATTAAGTAAACTTTTTGTACAAATACTTTAAAATCTGTAAAAATAAACAATAATTTTTGTCGTCTATCAAGAATAAAATATATCTTTAAGAATAAATACCATCTGTTTCATATATTTTGTAACTCCAATTTCTGTAAATTGGAACTTAATTTCCATTAAACCATATATTATATTTTATACACATACCTGTACAAGAAGGGAAGAAAATGGCAACAAGAACTGTAAATGAAGTTGTAATATCTACAATAACTTGATTATATGTTTTTTCTGTATGAGATGATTCTTCATGAACTTCAGATAAAGAAATGATATCACCTTTACTTCTAAAGTTTGGTTGAATGTTCTCTATAAAAAAAAATTTATGATTAAATTCAAAAATTTTAATTTAATTATATAAAATTTATTATTTCTATTATCATTATGCAATATTAGAAAAAAATGAGCTAAAATAGCATGTGATGGTGCAGCAGATATACTTCCATATTAATCAATTAAAAGTTACAAAATGAGAATAACAATGATCATTTTAATAAGCACTACACATAAAATCAAAATCCAATAAGAAACTACAAAAATCTACATAAAAGCAAATGTTTTCATCTGTGTTGAATGGTTATTGTCAGGCTAAAAAAAACCTTCTCACTGCAAAGGTCTTTTAGCCTTTACATAACCAATGATGACCAAAAAGCCCCTGAAATTTACAAAAAACTTATTAGGGATGACAGGTTCCAAAAGGATCTAATATATATACAGTGGTACCTCAGGATACGAAATTAATCCGTTCCGAAACTGAGATTGTATCATGAAAATGTCGTAAGGGGATCATCTTTTCCCATACGATTACATGTAAAACCAAATAATTCGTTCCAACGCGAAAAACATACTCAAATTAAAGCCAAGTAATACATTAAAAAAATAACTGTAATAAGAAAAACAAATGAAAAATGCGAACTAATGTAACGTCGTATGGTGAGTTTTTGTTCGTATCGTGGAGCAAAAATATGTTCAAATTTCATGTCGTATCCTGAAAATTTCGTATGCTGGGGCGTTCGTAACCTGAGGTACCACTGTATATAGGTTGTACCAAGAGATCACTTAAAAAATGCATAACAGAACATAAATTGGATATAGAAATAGAAAATAAAAAGCAATTCACCACTCTTTTGATATATGCTAGTGATAATATTGAAGCCGACTTACAACGAGCAAAATTAAAATGGACAAAATGGAATATCTCAAGATAGTGGAGGTGCTACAAATCTTTAAACAAAAAAGCAGAGAATGAATATCAGCTTTAAAGTAGAAAAACAAATTCCTGTGCTTGGCAGGCCTTATTCAATATATTATTATAAAAAACTTATAATATCAGCTACAAGTGAAAACATCCCATTTGTCAAAATTTGAATTCAAATTTATACAGTATTTTCATGGATTGTCTGGCATGTCAGTGTATCTGGGAAGACCATGAAATTAGATATTTCCATATGGTAAAAACCAGCATGCTAGTTTAAGAGGTTATAAATACCTCTCTAGAGGGCATATCAAAACGAACAAGTTTTCATTCTAAAACTGTGAAACTATCAGCATTGCATCAAAAACTATGATTACATGTTTAATTTCTGCATTTTGTCTTCTTTCTAATGATGCAAAATATTATTCATGGAATGCTGAAAGTGCTTTCTTTTATCTTTATTTTATTACAATTTGATCCAAAAATGCAAAAATAAACATATCAAATTTCAAAAACTCAGTGTGAATTATCTTAACTTATACCTATTAACATCCAATTTGTGCAAAATTTGAGAGGAAGGTGTTATTTTTAAGGTTAGGGTAGATTGTCAGTGCAGCTTGAACTGACTAACTATACTATTAACTTAATAGTATAGTTAGTCAGTTCAAGCTGCAATATCAAAAGTCACTATTTGTTTTATTGACTTGTAAATGAAAACTTTCTACAGTCAGTCAAATTACAATTTTATCATTTTATTGTACTAGGAAGAATGTTTTCTTTAACATATACTTAACTACTAGTTTTGTTACATCTGATTAATTTTATTTTTTAGTCATGGCTTAACCAGCATGCTGGTCTCCCTCGATTATCTTTGGCATGCCAGTCAATCTGTGAAAATATGGAACAAGGTTCTTCAAACATTCCATTCTTGAATATTCTTGAACACTTTCTTGAACACTTCTTGAACACTTTCTTGAACACTTGAACAATATTCTTGAACACATTCTTGAACACTTCAATAACCTGAAAACAGGTGTTAGAAGTAGACCGAAAGTATTTGTTTGTGTTCATGCTTTCATGTTTGTGTTAATTTTTTCACCATTCTACTGGGAGAACTTTAAAGTTAGTGTGTTTGTTATTTTATTTTATAATTGCCTGGTTTATGGAATTGAGAATAATTTTGGTTGTAGCTTTAGTGAATTATTACAGTAGATGGCCAAAAGCTACTACAATGAGGAAAGTAAATACAGGTAACCTCTATATAGCACAGCACTTCTATAGCACAGGTTCACTCTAACACAGTTCAGGAATTGGGTAAAACTCTCATACAACATGAAATGTAATAAAGGGTGCGTTCTATTATACCTCCGCGTAACTCTGCGCAAGCATTCTAATTGTTTTTGTGGCTACTTTGAATGCTCTTTCAACAAATAATTCATTTAATGGTTAAATTTTACATTTGGGACCCTTTTTTTGCCTCTAAAAGCTCATTTTAGAATTATAGATTTCTCCATCACAATACTATCAATAGTGTGGGTGCCACCATCTTTCTTTCACCATCGTTCCTAAATGCCTACAAACAGCAGCGCATTGCAGAGCGACTGCTATTAACGAACGCACCCAAAAACTGTTACCAGTTGATGATGCTCATGCTGAGATCATCATATAGGATGAATAATCCTCAGGTAAAATATTTACTTAAATAATAAATAAGTATTTTACCTATGAAAAAAATGAATAATAAATCCAATTTAAATAAGAATTTAACAGCATGTTTTTTAATTTTTGGAACCTAACTCCCCCTTTTCGCACTAGTTCTTTGTTTCATATAACACGGATTTGCATAACAAGGCAAGTTTTTGGAACATAACTCCCATGTTATACGGGGGTTATCTGTACAAACAATATTATCAAATTGCTTGAATCTATTTTTATGAGATTTGGTTATCCTAAGAAGTTAACTTCTAATAACAGACCCGTTTAGAACAAACAGGAACAAAAATGCCATATGCTTGACTCAGCGAATAAAAGAAAGTCCTCAATCTACAACAGGCATTCCATTATTATAAACTGTAATTATGTTTGCCTTTATAAAGTTGAATTAACCAAAAAGCTAGTATCAATAATCTAACAAAGTAAATAATACACCTTTAACAGAGAAAAACACTGGATAAAAACAAATATTTTCAAGCCAGTTTGTCTCTCACCAAAATCTTACCCACTGTTAAAGGTGTATTGCTTGCTTTATTTATATTTGGTTTTATCTGAGTTGATTGAGTTACCCTAACCTGTGGGAAAATTCCTGTTTTATATACCAACTACAAGGTAAAATTGTGTAGACATTTTAATATAAAATAAACTTTTGTTACAAGTTTGAATGAAGAATAAATGTTACAAATTGACTGTTACATACAATAACATTCCTAACCAAGAACTGCCTTAGGGAGCAGCTAAGAATATAGCGGTAGCCAACATGTTAAAAACAAAAAAAAAACAATTATATAATCAATAAAACCCACAAAACAGTCTAACATATAAAATTCCTTAATTTTTATTTCATCAGAAACATTTTTCAATCCATCAGCTTAAAAATGTAGTTAACAGAATAACAACATAACAACATAAAAGACTGGATTTTACTCTGTTGTAAACCAGCTGCTGAAGAACCAAGATAATTTTAAAATATTTCAAATAAAATAAAATTATAAACTATTACATTTAAGTCTACTTCTTGTGATTTTGATTTTCGTTCTGAAATTTTACTTACCCATCAAAACGCCACTGGCAAGACCGGGTAAAGCATCAATGTATTTTACTTCATTATCATCAAAATATGGATCACAAGTATAACCTAAATTTTGTGTAGAATTTGTAGCTGTCACATTAGAACAATACAGATAAAATAAAGAATTGCTGATATTCTTTTCTTTGGTGCATTCATATTCAACACCCAAGTATATACTGGAAAGAATACGATCTCCTAAAACACAAAATCTAGAGAAAAATAAAACAAAAGATACATATATTCATATATAATTTAAAATAAATTTAAATTAAACTAATCAGATAAATACAAAAAAACATAAATATCTAATTATTCAGAAAGTTACAATTATTTTACATTATAATCATTAATTAAATGGTATCAAATGGATGTACAGTACGTGTATACTCTAGTTTTCTGAACTAAAATAAAAGCAGTTAGTAATGTTTTTAAACATTAAAATATTTATTTAGAAAACTAATTTTAAGTTTCTAAGATTTGTTTTCATCTTTCTTTAGACACCACATTTTCACTTTGTGGTAGAATTTTGAACTATTTTTTATATTGCAGAAATCTTTTCCCTGTGGTCTATAACATATATATCAAGTTTCATCAAAATCTGATAAGCTGAACAAGCTCTAGAGGTTTGAACAGGATCAATTTAATTATAACCACCATTTATGTACCTGTACAGTACATTAAAACAAACTATAACACTTTGCTGTTGTATTGTTGTACTGAATAAAAGTATACATTTTGCGATAGTTTTATTGGCCATTGCATAGCATCCCTTCTAAGTGCTGTGTGGTCATTTTTTTTTGTAATTGTTGAATTTGTTTTATTCTCTTTTAAAATTTATTTCCACCATACCACCATATCTCTTCATTCCATTCAAAGTTTACACTTGCTTCCACTTAAAATTTGGTTACTCTCATGGATCAGATGAGGTTAAAACGGAATGGAAACATTACAAATATGGAACTGAATAAAATATACATGCACAACATGTACAGTACATCCAGAACTCCAATACATCACATGCAAGTTGTTTTTAACTGAACTGATATTAACATTGTTGTGATAAATCAAATTTAAACTAATTATCAAACTAAAAACATATTTAATATCACATCCAATAATTGAAATTATTTTATTTTATAAAATATTAAAAATAAAATTTTATATTAAACATTATTTTCATGTAACATTTCAAAATTGTTATACTCACTTCAAATTATCCCTTCCGTAAGTATTTACAAAAACACCAATATATACACAAATTATGGACACTATTACACAAAAAAGTGCAACAGGTGCTAATTTACTGACAAAAGCAACTCCAATGAAAACCATAATTCCAATTATAACAAGAAGAATTGTCCCATATGTACGAAAATTGTGGTACATAATTTCTTGGTCTTCTTTGAAATCCCCATATAATGATAATGATGGAGCCAAATAAATCTAAAATATAGAAGAACAAAAAGTTTAATAATAGTCATAAATATTTAGTTCAATCAAACATGCAAAATACAATGGAACCTCGGTATATGACCTTAATCCGTTCCCGATGTTTGGACTTATACCGAATTGGACGTATACCAAACCAACCTTTCCCATAAGAAGTAATGTAAAAATGATTAATCCGTTCTCACGTAAAAAAAATGGCTGGCTTTAAACACCTCACTTTCCTGGCTAGTTCCTGCTTGATTTTTCGTGAGCTCAGCATATATCTTTTTAGCTTTCTCGCAAATAATTGCTTCCGATACGCTGTCTCCAGCACTGTTTTTCAGTTATCCAAAGCAAAAGCAATTTCTCGACATGATCTAATGTCTTCGATCTCTGTTTAGAAATTGATTTAACCCCTTTCGCAACGTTAGCAGATTTAATAATGTCTTTATTTTTCACGATTGTCCGTATCGTCGTTCTCGGAATACGGTAAACAACAGTTAAAATCTCGAACATGCGTGCCACCTTCATATTTCTCAACAATCTCTTTCATCAGTTCCATTGTAATTCTAGTCATTTTTTTAGTTTTCTGTCGCTTTTCATTTGCCTTTTTGGGATTCGTGATTAATAAAAATAATAAAATTTTACTTACGAATTAAAATCAGAAGAAATTAAAAAAAGTTATAAACCATTGCACTGCAAACGTCTAGTCTGGTCTAGTACACCGATAGTGCTACTTATTCATTGATGGCACGTATAATTGAATTATGTCGTATACCAAACAAAAGTCGTATACCGAGCAAAATTTGTTTCGTCCAAACAGGACATATTCCGAATTGGACGTATTCTAAAACAGACGTATACCGAGGTACCACTGTACTTTAATTTAACAATGATTGTATATAAATCAATCTGGTAAAGTAGACATATCAGTCTAAAGAATATAACATCTCCTTATCCAGCAAAATTGTATTACTCAAATCTTTACAAATGTTTTCAACCTAAATTAATAAGTTTTCAGTGAGAACATCAAAGATCATATTTGGGTATGGAATGTTTAAAAAAAGAACAGATTTAAAAGACATTTGGTAGAAGCAAAATTTTTATCAATTCAAATGTTCAATGTTAACAATGTTAACTTCCTAGAATGTATGAAGGAATGTTTTGCCTGGTTATTAAGAGTTATAATAGGTTTTCCATGCAGTTGAAATGGTTCAACATGCTTATAGATAATGCATTTTCCCTTACTTGTGGATTTAAAAATCTTCAGTTACTCAAGTGCTTTTAATGCATGTTTATTTTATCTTTTATGTAAAAATCTGCCTGTGGCATCAATACATTCTAATTCTCAAGCAAACCTCCCATCTATCGCTAGAATCTTACATGATTCTTAAGCATACATTGTGGGGTTCCTGCAATAGCCTACTTTAGCTGGTAACTTCCTCATTATCAGTATTCTTTATACCATACATTTCTTATTCTTCTGTTTTACCCAACAACTTTGATGTTCTTGTCTCCTTCTTTATGCTGAATATTATGCCGTCTCCTGGAGAATCATTTATCAATATTATATGAGTTTCTTAGGGCACTTTGCAGAAGGACACATAGTTTTGTATCTGCATGTCATTGGGGATATGAATTTCATGAATAATTGCAAATCTGTGTACATTTGACAGATTAGGGACTATCACATTATCAGACCAAGAATATTTAACAGGCTTTACTTTGCATCCCTTTATTCTTTTATTTTAATACAGCCTTGCTTTTGCAACTTGGACATTTTACTGGATAATATAAAGCATTCTGCCTTCTACCGCCAACAAATATTAGAACTTGCACACATGGCATACTACACTCATTGCCATAGAAATTAGTGCACCAAGAAGGAGTTGTTGGAATTGAACGAAATTGTTCATGTGTGAGTGTAACAGTCAATACAAAATGAAAGCAAAAGGATCATTTATTGCAGAAAAACTACAAATGAAAGAAGGTTCTAGTACACAGTTGGGTCACCTCTAGTGTGAATACATAATGTGATACGAGCAAACATGGAGGCACACAGGTGTTGTATGAAGGCCTCTTAAACCTACTTATTAGTTTTTTTAAATTTTTGCTCACTATGGCATGTCACAAATGGTCAATAATCAATAAGTAGCTCATTTGTGGCAAGACTCTTAATTTTTAACCATGCCCTGTAGCTTCAATAACCACGTAACACCAGGTTGTGCAAATTGGGCAAGGATACAAGCGAGTACAAAGTCTACAAGTATGAAGTTTTTCTTCATAAACTTGATTATTAAAGACAAACGAACTGCCAAATTATTGGGTATAAGCTTGATGTTTCTATTAAAGCAGCCAAGGTAGACAAATCAAGAATACTAGAGAGCAAAAGAAGTACTACAATCTCCAAAACGAACTAGAAATCTTCCAGGCTACAGGCAAAAAAACACATAACATTTCATTACTAAAATAACTTTCATTTTTCATTACTAAAATAAGAATCAAATTGAGTGATCAGAGTATCAACCATCTTTACTTTTTATAAAATCTTATTATAAAAGTTTACAATAATATTTTGTATTATGTTTTATGTAAAAAACGAAAATTACCTTTTAAGTTAGAAGTTTCATCTAANTAAAATAAGAATCAAATTGAGTGATCAGAGTATCAACCATCTTTACTTTTTATAAAATCTTATTATAAAAGTTTACAATAATATTTTGTATTATGTTTTATGTAAAAAACGAAAATTACCTTTTAAGTTAGAAGTTTCATCTAAGTTCATTTTTTTTTCTTTTTTTAAATTTTTAGTCAATTCAAAGCATTTTTTTGTTGTTGTTGTATGCAGTTTCCAGCAAACTTTAATAAATTTTTTCTATTTGTGAAAATTTCTATGTAACTCAAAGGTAATTTTTAATATATATCTTAGACAGCATTATTAATATGATTTAGGAGGTTGCAAAATGTATTAAATTACTTTAAAAATGAAAAATAATTATATCGTTTGATTTCAAGATATTTTGTATATCTTAAAAAAAATTAATTCTATCCTGGGATTTTCCAGGATCCTGGGAAACAGTTCACTTTTATCCTGGAATCCCGAGACAAACAAAAGACCAGGAAATGAGAAACGCTAATTCTAAATCTGTAAGTAAATTTGAGACAACACTCATACTTACTTAAAGAAAAAAATATTGAAAAACAGAGTTTGTATTTAAAATCTGAAATTTTGTACGGAGAATTTTCCAAATTCTCGAACAGTGTTAGAGCGAAACCAAAAACAATGTTTTATGGGGAATATCCACAGTTTTTGAACCATGTTAGAGCAAAACCGTGTTATAAAGTGCCATGTTATACAAGGAACAACCCCAGTCCCCAATTGATTCGGATAAACGACGCTCTACTGTAATGCCAAATGAGTGCTTTACAATACTTTACATTAAGAACATTATCTGTATCTAGTTTTTTCACAACATTTGAATAAAAGTTTGAAGTGAATTCTATTGTGGTTTTATCTTTATGACAGGGAATATAGTAAATATTTGATGAGTATGTCAAATAACCAAATTATGCAATTTATTAATATAAAAGATCAAAATTTTAAATATTAAATTTAAAACTTACCCAAAATTTATATAAGTTAAAAGAAATAACTTACATGTAACAGCTAAAAATAGCTTTATTTTAATAAGAAGAAAAATTAAATTTGTAGCACCGTACATTTAATTAAAAAAATAAACATTTTTGAGTCTACTTTAGTCTAGTGTCAGAGTGATTTCAAACTGAATGACTTANAAAATAGAATTGCCCCATTAAAGAGCTGTCAAGTTAGAGCTCATATAGAGACCTCCATGCAGTAGATAGTGTGTCCACATCCCTATAATTAATACAAGTTAAAGTTCTACTGGCTTTATTTATTTCTACAGTCACTATATTTCTAAAGTCATTTTTAACAGCAATTTTCAAGTTATTAATACAAAAAGACCATTGTTAAAATACACATCATCTGACTCTTAAAAATAAAAATATACAAAATTCTAACATTTAAAACAGTATTTTCTTTCTTGAATTGCACTTTATAAATATTTTATTTGTAACAAGTAAACTCCAATTTTTCTAATGGAACTAAATTCTGCTTCATTGCAACATAGAAATTTAAATTATTTATCATTTCTCTAGTAGTCTTGGGAAATCAAACCTATCATCTGGAAAATTTCAACAGAATATCTCTATAAAAATCATTTGTTTTTAGTTTGGCATGATCAATTCACTTTGATCATGCCAAACTAAAAACAAAGAACCATTGATAATTTACTCCTCTCTGCAGGGAAACTAACTCCCCCAATTCTATATAAATACAGCATTTTATGTTCCTGAAAAATTCTAGGAACATAAAATTGTGTTGTCAACAGAACTTAGCACAAAAATAATAATTTGTAATAACTCTGATTAATTCTAAAATTACCAAATGCAAGTAACTGATATCTATCCTTCATTAATTATGCTTCCACATTTTTTTTTTAATAAGCTCAAAAATTTCAATTTAAGAAAAAGTGCACTATCTAAACTAATTATACAGCTTATTTAAGAGCCATTTTCAAGTTGTAAATGTTACCAATTCCAATTTATTTCAATATTACACATTTTGTCTCTTTTATTAGTTTATTTACAGTTTCACAATATACAGGCTCAATATTACATCTTTATTATTTTACTTTTTGTTTATAACATTAACAAATTTAAAAGGTAAACTTACCAAAAAAATTTCTACCGCTCCAACAATGTACATAGCTCCAGCAAATGTAGTTGCCAAATAAAATAAAATTCCAACTGCTCCGCCAAATTCAGGACCAAGAGAACGAGAAATCATAAAATATGATCCACCCGCTGTTAAAAAAAATACATGTTTAAAATGATATGTTAGTACATATACATTATATTCACATTTTAAATTTACTTAGCTCTCTAAGAGATGTACAGTACAGTGCATTGCATAGAAATATTACATTGTACTACACCACATTAGTGTTATGTACTTGATATTTTTACTTTGTTTGAAGAATATAAATATGGCCAATTAAAGTATCACTCATCTTTCTTTTTGTCACAGACATTTTTGGCACGACCTTGGTTTGTCAAAATGTGCAGTTGCCATGTGTTGGGTGAGCACCATTTTAGTAATGTGTGACACAATGGGCACAAGAATATCTATGAACATGTCAAAGAGGAAATGGATTGCATTGGTGCACAACAGAGTGCACAGACTGGCAGATTTGCCAAACAGCCTGTCAGGACCCATTTGCCACAACATGACATCCAAAGCTGTCACCATCAACAGGTTCATCTCTGTCCACCCAAATCACTCTCAATAGGTTACATGAAGTCAGGCTGCACGTAGAACAACTGGCAGCACAAATGCCATTAACTGCTTGACATGGGGCTGCATGCCTGGTATGGTGTTGTCATCATTGCAAATGGACCACTGAATAGCATTGAGTATTGATTATGGATAAATCCCCAAAGCTAGGAAACTGGCCTTGGCATGTCAGAAGGGTCTAGCTGTGAAACTCAGGCAGGTTAGAGGATCTGAAGATCCCACTTTGGCCTCAGCCATTAATGGAGTCTTAAGACTCAGAACTTAACGTTCCAGAGATGTCAGAATATCATGGTCCTTGGGTCTGTATATCAGGCTGTAGTGAAGCTTGTCCAAAGTGCCACATCTCTATCTGTAGCCACTGTCAGGGTTTTGAATATCTTCCCAATCTTGAACCTATCCCTGTTCAGATGGATAGCAATAGAGTTGCATTTTGGCTTAGTGGCATGCAAATTCACATCAAAACAGCGGGGAGACTGATATAGCCAAAGCACAGCAGCTGTTTTTGATGGCATTGTCACTATGGGGACCTATAATGGGACCCAGAGAATAGATTCTGTAACTGCTACAAACAGGTTTCCCAGGGAGGCCTTGTCTTCAGATAGGATAAGTGAAACATAGTTGTATGGGCTTGTCTGGTGAAAACTGGTAATCCTCCAACAAAAGCAAAGGCACTTGTGGGCCTGTGATGCAGCCGTCACTCAATAAGGTGCTGCTGAAATGTGGTAGTAACCTTCTGCCTTGGTAGAATGGACCCAAGTCCCCTACTTGCGATGGTAAATGCATCTGCTTGTAGCAAGATGATTGCTGTGTCAAAGGCCTTAGCGAATGAAGTCCCTGACTAGCCACAGAGGATGCTGGACCTTGCAGATTCAAACCCGCTTCAGTACAGAGACTGGAGGCCATGGATCCGACAATCCTTACCCTCTGAAATCTGAGACACACTTCACAAACTCTCCCATTCTCCTTGGTGGTGCAAGGTTGATAGTTGAATGTATTACAGGTGGGCAGATGCAGTCAATCTTGCCCATAACCCATGGTAACACAAACCATATAAAGCTCCCTTTGTCTGGTAAAAGAGAATCAGTTTCCCAGAAGGAAGACTGGCTGGCCATGGCCAGCATGCTGAAGCCAGTGGGGCAGAGTCATACTCTTGTAGCCAAAATCTTGCTGGTGGCCAAGATATAGATAGAGCCTGAAGTAAATTACAAGATCTTGCAAACTGATATCTACCATGATAGGCATTGATAGTGATTGCAAATTTACCGGGTATTATATTACCGGTAATTCAGTAATTATATTCAGGATTACCGGTTTATCAGTAATTTACCAGTAAATTCATATTAACAAATGATTTAAAATGAAACTGAATTACTGACAGAATTATTGGACAACTATTTATTTTCAAGTTTTCTATAAGTTTAGACCAGGGGTCGCCAAAGTGGTCGATATCGACCCCTGGGGGTCAATAAAACATTTTTGGGGGGTCGATTATCAAGCTTAAGCTAAGGATAAGGGGGTGCTAAGCATCAAGCTTATCCAGCTTACTGATTATCAGTTACAAAAATTATTATTAACAAATATACAATAAATGAAAAAAATGCAAAATTAAAAGAAATGTATTAAAATAGTAAGTACTTTGTTTTGTTTGTAACACGAACTTTTTGGTGGGAGTCGATGTGAGGTTTTAAAAACTTGTAGGGGGGCGACGACCAAAAAAGTTTGGCAACTCTTGGTTTAGACAAACAATTCTTGTAATAGCAATTATTATGACATAAGATACATTGAAATAATGCTGATAATTAATTATGATTTTCTTTATATTGAAAGTAGGCTTTTAACAAACATGATACATGTAGGCGCTCATCGTCTAATCTATGTAGATCTAATTTTCATACAAATAGCAGCTGCATTAGAAAAAGCTCTCTGAAAATCAATACTAGTTGGACGTACTGTCATTAGAGCATTGAAAACCTTTTTAATTAATTAAGATAAGTTCCTTATTTTTTGCTCTAAGAAATAATTCATTTCTTTTTAAACTATATCTTTCACACCTTTAAACTTTCTTATATTACTGTTATCAGTGTCTATGCTCATTTTATGTTTAATGAATAAGTCCAATTTCTCTTTCATTGTTAAATTTGACTTTTACTATATTTTTTCAATTTTTTGGGTTATTTTCCTGTATATACTCCAAAATCAACACCCGTTTTTGGACTATAACACAAGCAATCAAGTTATAAAAAGACTAGAAAATTCCTTTTAATAACCTTAAATTACAAATGGAATGACCCATCACCACTTGCACTGTTTTCTTGCTATGGTATGGGGGAGACAAAAAAGAAATCTTCTTCCCGTGGGTATTTCCCGTGGAAATTTTAGGAAAATAAATATTGAGTTAATGAAGAGGTTTTCTTAAACCGAAATACCGGTAAAAAAATAATTTACCAGTATACCAGTAAACCAGTTACCGGTAATGCAATCACTAGGCATTGGGCAGAGCCACTCCCCAGCATAGGGCCAACTTCCTTCTGACTCAAGGATGTGGTGGTGCTTAAAGATTTATTTGATGAAAGACTGTATTGGCCCTGGAGAACTGGAAGCAGAAAAAAAGTTTCCTAGTAGAGATAAAGGGATTGTCCAAGCCAAGTAACCAGCTGGGTTGGGGTGACCTTGGGTAGGTAGCCATTTAAATAGGTAGCTGCCCCAGCAGCAAACTGAACCACTTGTGGGGAGGCTCTTAAATGCATACTTCTCAATTCTCAATGCAAATCTCAAACAGATTCTGGATAATTGTGATAGGGTTGCCTTGACCCTCTCTCTTTTCTTTAATTATATTTATTGGTGACAATAAATGAAAAATAGTGAATCCATTAGGCAGCTGTCAGATATGACTGATACACAAAATAAATGTGATACCAATATCATAGTCACAAGTGAGAGGCTTTCTGAAGGTGCAGTTTGCACCAGTCAGCAGGGAGGTAAACCCTGCGTAAGTGAAAGTCTTTAACTGGTGACCAAAAAGAAACAAATAGCTGGGCGATGTGAAAGCATCATTAATTGAAAAGGCCAGAGGAATAACTCCTTGGACTTCTGGCTCAGAGTCAGATAAATACAACATTACATCATGAAGCGAAGAGTGAATGGAAGGATGCCTCAGCCTCCATTCGTAACAAATGAAAGCTGTGCAAGAAGTAGCAGGTGGCTGAAACCAAGGTGAAGCCACAAGATGATAAACCTATACTTAGTGAAACTGCTAAGAAGGCAAAAATGGCCTTGGAAGAGGGGGGTCTTCTGCCAAAAAAAAAGGATGGGTTGAAAAAGAATGGCCCTACTGGAGTCGCAGCTGGAAAGACAAGTACAGCAGCAACTGAAACACCATTGTTGGCACCTGCAGGTAAGCAAGAAGGACTGGTGATAGTGAGTGATCACAGGGTCACACTATGGCATCCATAAGGAGCTGACCCAACTGCTCAGGAAGATTGACAACACTCAAAAGTCCACCTGCAAGGTGATCTACAATGTTTTCAGTAAGGTAGTCACAAACCTTAATGCCAAGGAGATCAAGGAGGTTCTATTTTCTCTCTCCAAGCAGAAAACAGAACTCTTAGAGAAGTTGTGGAAAGCCAGCAACCACCCAAGCCTCCTGCAGCAAATGGCAAGACAGCAGTGGCAGGTTGTAGAACCTATGCGACCATCACTGCTACAGGGGTACCTAAGCAGAGCCAAGAGGGGCCAACAGTCATTGCCAGACATGTGAGGCAGGTACAGTCCATAGAGCACTCACTCCTGGTGTACCCCAAAGATGACAAGATGAACAGTTACCAAACTCGGGAGCTGCTTAAAACGAACATTAACCCAAAGAAGTTGGACATCAGGATCAAAAACGTTCAAAGGGTCCACAATAACAGAATCCTGATAGAGGTGAAGAAGAGTAAAAACATGATGGAACTTACAAAGGAATTGACAAAGGGTCCACCAGCATTAAGAGAGACAGTCAGTTACCAACTGCCTCTCTTAATGCCCAGTGTTTCTGGGTCAGTTACCAACTGCCCAGAAACACTGGCCACAGATCATATTGTTTGATGTCTCACCAGACATCAAGTGCAAAGCTCTTGTGGAAACCATCTGTGTGCAAAATAACATCAAGCTGCAGCTGACTTCTCACTCAAGGGAAAGGGAGGTCTCATCAATTGGGTTTTAGAGACCTTCCTGATAGTCTTCTGCACTCTCCTGCAAAAGGGGAAACTCCACATGGGGTGACCCGCAACTGCGTGAGGGAACATATAGCTTGCACTTGATGCTACAAATGCTACAAGTTCAATTATGTAGCAAAAGGCTGTATGGCAACAGCCCAAAAATGTAACAAGTGTGCCAATGATCACTCCTACAAAGAGTGCAAGGTGACAATGCCTAGATGCATCAACTGTACCAAGGCTAAAAAAACTTTGGCCTTCACAACATTGAGTGTGAACTGTTCGTGCTACCTGCAGGAACTCAAGAGTTAAGGCTCAGATCAATTATGGTCAGTAAAAGGAAACTAAGCTGAATTCAACCAATCAAATATATACAAACAGAGGAACGAAAAATGTGGATGTAGAATCCTGTAGTTCAGTGCCAAAAGGTGCCGAGCCATCACTGCACAATTGCGAGTTGAGGTGGCAGAGCAGAAAATTGAGATCATCCTGCTCCAGGAGCCAAACTTAATACAAAGAAAGATTGAGATCTATCAATACAATAGAGCAAATTTGCTGAAGAAGGTAACAAGTGTTGTGCTTCTGTCATCATAACATGGAGAAACATCAATGTGTATGCCATCCACATTTTACAACTCATGGTGACTGTAGAAATACAGTCATTATCCGTTACTTGGGTTGCAGTCTCCAATTTTTGCCCACTATCATTCAACATTGGTAGTCTTCTAGAAAAACTTGAATGGGTTGTCTTGCCACACAACTGAGTGGTTTTGGTAAGTAATTTTAATGCCAAAAACTTGTGGGGCTCCTCAATAGACGATCTGGCTGGGGAGACCATGAAGGAAGTGGTGAAGAGTTGCGGTATGCATGTCCTGAATGATCCATTTGGGATTGGCTCCAGGTTGATTTGGCTACAGGCTGACCATCTGTTTGCCTGAAAGTAAAAGCTAGATTGACTTCACCATTGTGGGTAGGGCTATGCTGAGACTTACTTCACAGTGGGAAACAGTCAACACAAAAAGTTGTAGTGACCATAGCTTCATTACTTATGAGGTGATGAGCAACTCACCAAACAGGCCAAGTAGCTGCTACAGGCTGACTGCCAAAAACTGGGAAAGTTTAGCAAATGCCTCGCTGAAAAAACAGCTGACTTAGTTACATCAGTTGCTAAGGGTAAGAGTGTCGGGGGATCTGGAGGTGGCTGTGGCCAACCTGACTGAAGTAATAAGATCAGCAGGAGTCTGCATGCTCACTCAATGGCATCCTACCACCCACAGTTCTAAAAACAATAGCCTAGTAGGTTCCGCATACTGCATCTATTTTGATGGAGTTCAAGTGTACAGTTAGTCAGTCAGACTGAATGAGAAAGCATCCGTGTTCCAGGCAGAATCAGTGGCCTTAGCAAGGGCATTCCAGTGTCTGCTCACTATGACTGCTAAAGTGCACATAGAGATGTGGTGATATTTTTCAATAAACTTTGGAGTTTTTCTCTCATATAAAATCTTTGGCAAACTTATATCTTTAATTAATCATTAATTTTTATAGCCAAATCAAACTGGATACTTTTGAGAATAACACCCTGTTTTAATTTAAATTAGTATAAAAGACAAAATGATACAATAAAAAACAAATTTTATATTATAGATATTTATAAATTTCAGAAAACTCATTGATTTTAAAAAAATAACTCATAATTTAAAAAGCAGATCTTTTAAAATATTATATAACTCTCAAATAATGTTGCATATATAAAGAACTGATTTTAAAAATGATAACATAGTTGGTTAATTCAAATAACTTTATCTTGATTGTATTAAAAAGAAAAATTTAATAATTATTTACTATATATTAATTTACTACACATTGATTAAAATTTTGTTTGAAAAATAAATATCAAATCATACCTGGTACGATACCATTTGTAGCTATGGCACTCAGAGAGATACAAGTTGTAAAAGTCTGTAGATAAATTAATATACTGTTTTAATAAAATCTATTAGTATTAGATTATATAATGTATATAATAAATATGATTTATATAATTTTGATGAAAATGCAGATAAAACAGAAATGTAATGATATATCAAAAAATTTATATTTATTTCACTGTAAAAATGATACAGTTATACATTTTATAAACATTGATAAAATCAAAAAAAATTTATTGTTGGAAATTAACATGAAATGTAAATGTTTAAATCATTTTATTTTATATTAAATTCTATTAACTTTCAAAACTTACTCAAAACATTTTGATTCTATCATGAGCATTCTAAAGGAGAGCGGGACAAGTAGAGCCACAGGTAAGTTGATCTGTATGTCATTTTCCTGCGGCTAAGCATCCATCAGACATGTGGCATCAGATGCAACAGGTTGACAAGGTGAAGAAGTCACTGTGTCACATTTTATGCTGAAAAGTTTATTTTTGGAGGTGGTAAGTAAACTTTTTGTGTTACATTTTCATTCTTATAAATCTGAGTTCAATAACAATTAACATAAAAATACATAATATTTACTTTACTCCAGCACTGAACATTACATATAACAAATTTTTTCAGGTTAATTCATAACTCATAACCCTTCTTCAAACTCTCACAAACAAAAAATAACAAACAGCATGCATGCATTCCATCTATTTAAATACATGAATGAATATGTTTGGAATTGAAAGCATATTAAATTACAAACTAAATAGACAAACTATTAGTAAAATACATTAAAATATTTGAATCAGTGCAACCAAGTTTAAACATGCTCCACTGCTCATCCACTAATCTACTACATTGTAAGCATTCCTTGTGTTGTACAAGGTCTGTTCAAAAAGTATCGGACCTTTTTTTTCTGCGTAAACCAATGATGCGAGAGAGGCCTCCTTCGGTGGAGTTGTGGAGGGGACAGTCATGCACAGCCCTGAATTTTTTCCCGCCTGCAGGAAGCGTCAGTCGTTGGCAATCGGCGTATGAGTGAGATCATGTAGTGCGCTCTCGTCGGATTCCACTAAGCTGGAAAATGACTGAACAACGTGAGCAGCGATATTACATCAAATTTTGCCAAAAACTTTGGCGATACCCGAGTGTAAATCATTCGCAAGATTCAGCAGGCTTTCGGGGACGATCCTCGAGGCCAAAAAAAGCGCGGCAGGTCCGTAGCAATATCAAAGGTCATGTTGACAGTTTTTTCGACTCTCGTGGGGTGGTGTGTCGTGAGTACGCACCACAAGGCCAAACCATCGCAAAGGAGTACTACCAGGAGGTCCTTCGTCGTCTTTCCGATACAGTGCGACGCAAACGACCGGATCTGTGGTCGATCAAAACTTGGCAGCTCCATCGTGATAACGCATCCGCCCATTCTGCGCATCTGATTCGAGCTTTCGTCGCCAAACACAATACTCCTGTGGTTCGTCGCGCTCCGTACTCTCTCCACATGGCTCCGTGTGATCTTTGGCTATTTCTCAAGCTGAAAATGCCGCTAAAAGGAACCCAAATTTAGTCGAGAGAAGACATCATGCAAAATGCGACGGACCGGCTGATAACCATTCCAAAAGATGCGTTCCAGCAGTGTTTCCAGCAATGGCAGGAACACTGGGAGAAGTGTATATATTACCAAGAAGACTACTTTGAAGGGAATTAGGGTTTTGTACCTCAAAGTCAATAAATTTATTTTTGCCGACCAAAGGTCCGATACTTTTTGAACAGACCTTGTAGCTCTTTCCAATCACATACTTCCAAGCATTGGAGATGCTAGATGCATCCTTCCTAAAGACAACAATAGTTTATTTGTTAAGATAAAAGGCCATCAACTATAAGGAAGATAAAACCATTCCAAATCAGTGGAAAGTATATATTCACCCAATGTAAATCTTGGAATTCCTATAAGATTACAAACTTGTATGCACAGCTCCTTCAATTGGCAGTGGCAAATTAGATCTGAATCATTCAAAATTCATGAAATTCCATTTTAGAACTTCAGCCTGAAGATATTTAAAAATAGATGAAAACTTTTGCTTTTTAAGTGAGTGTTTGTATTGCTGGTTGTTTGGTTATTGAGTTAGGAATTTTATGCATCTTCCTGTTAATACATTCCCTCATTGAGGCTTTGTAAATTTTTAGGCTCTCAGCACACTTTGTTACTCTTATCCTGGATCTGCCTGATAACTTTGAATACATCCCTCTATATTGTGTAGTCTCTCCCTCTCCCATGTAAAAGCTGATAAAGCAGTGGTTACTTTTGTTTGGTAATGCCATATTGAGGTCTTTTAAACTTGCTCCAAGCAGTCTAGATGTATATCCCACATACTCTGTACTAACACTGAACCTGTTTTTAGCTGGTATATGATATTCCTAATTTCTGGATTTCTTTGAATTCATACTGCTGTTTATCATTTATAAGAAAGTTTTATATTGCTGGATTCCTTTTGTATATTAGTTTAATCTTCCTCCTCTTGGCAATTTGTCAGTATAAAGCATGCAGTCCTTTTTCATAATTTATGGTTTAAAATGTGCTATCTACTGATTGGCTGCTATATGTGTGATGTGTGGGATTGATTATTCCAAGGAGCTGTGTGTTTATTAATTAATTGGTTCATCATTTTTTAGAGTATTCATGGATTTTAGCAAATTTCATCTGTATTCATGGATTTTAGCAATTTGTACAGTTGAATTCCATAATCTATTTTTGATATCTGCAATGGGCAAGTTTGTAAAAATGTTATCTTTGACATAAGTGTCAGTAATTAATCCTAGAAATCCACATATTTTTAATTTTGCACATAAGAGTGATAGAAAATCAGGCTGGTAGTAAAAAAATGCATGGCCCACCTACAACGAAGAGAAAAAAACTACAGAAATTCCTTCACAAACATATGGAAGTATATATTATTGCTCAGAGCATCTAGTAAAACAAATACAGAAGATAATATTGACAGATGATGAATATATCATGGTGTTAGACTTTGAGACTTTATACCTCTGTCAAAAAATCAGAAAAGAACATTGCAGAAATTCCTGCTTACAGCAGCAGTGACAACAATGATGACAGCTTTCCAACGTATTCTGATATCATAAAATCAGAAGGAAATGATAAACTGATAGAGTTTGAAGACCAAAATATGTTTGATAACATGATTGTATCATATCATTCAATTAAACCAAATCATTTTGTACTAGTCAAGTTTTCTCTTCATAGTCAGGTTTGCTTCAGTATTACATAGGAAAAGTGATGCATATTGATGGGGAAAACATGATCTGCTTTTTTCCTATACTGTACATAGTGATTACTATGTACAGTACAGGAAAAAGCAATCCTGCAGCTAAATTTTTTGAAGACATTTCTCTTCTTTTCAATGCAGGTAATGAAATTGAGAAACATCCTACCACATAATCAAAACATTGCTTCCTCCATATCCCATTGTAGATTTAAGCATCCCTGCCACCACTCTCAGCTTTGTTTCCTTGAAGGCACCAGTAATTGCATCTACTCATCCTGTATTATATTATATGCGTCATCCTTCCCTCTGTTTGTCATAACTTCTTCACACAGATTGTCATGTAATATCTGTTTATTAATAATCGGTTCCCGGCAGAACTCATCGATCCATCTTCCTTCCACCTTTCCCTCCCCATCCCTCTCCTCACCTCCCCCTACTATCCCCCTCTCTTTCCCCTTCTTTTCTTAGGCTATACTAAACCACTGAGTCAGCCCTAGTCTTTAATTTTCCTGTTCCAGTTCCTGTAGATCTAAGCATTTGTATTCAAAACTGTGATTTATCAGCATTTACTACCATGATTTAAAAAACAAGTTCTGGCAGTCTAATTGTTGGGCAACATATTCCATAGAATAGATCAATTTATCCCAGGCTTGAGATTACTTGATCAAACATACATTATATAATAATGTTTATTTTTTACCAAAAGACGTGATATTCAGAAAAAACTTTTCTAGTCCATATCTTGTCTAATTCATAAACCTTATAATCAATAAAAGTTTATTTCTCTTTATTAATTACATTGTTATATAACAAAAAAACCTAAAATTGGCTCAATTTATCCCACTCTTCTCTACATAATTATAAACTAGAAAATTATTTTATTTTTTTTACTATTATTATTAACCCCTATATTCTGTTTAAGTCCATTATATGATTCCATTTCTAGTTTGAATATAAATATTAAGTAACTTAAATGTTTTTTAATTTTATCTATTATTCTTTCTTATTTACAAATTTTGCATTTTTAGATTCTGTCATATAACTTCAATTTCTTGTTCTGAACAAGTCAATGATATATACATACATATATATATATATATATAGGTATGTATATATCATTATATATTATATATGTCATTGATATATATATATATATCATTGACTTGTTTTTATTTTGCAATAATTTACAAGAAGAATAATGTTATTATTCTTCTTGTATCCCATTAGCTGACTATGGAGCCAATATACTGTTACAGGTGCCATGGGTTTACAATAAGTTTGTACGGTGCCTTTCCATAATAGACAATTAGAGGCAGTTGACTGCAAAGGACAAAGTCTTTGCTTTGCTGAAAGTTATTCTTTGAAATTATAGGTTGGTTTTGATAATTTTTTCCATTTTTTTTAGGCGCAGCATGTAGTATCTTCCAGTATGCTGGTTTTGGTGTCCAAAGGAGCTTGTTTGACAAACTGGATTTATCCATTCTGCATACATGACCAAACCACTACAGCCAGTGCTGACATATAATTGACATTATTGAAGGCTGATTTAGACAACACTTTCTGATGTTCTCATTCTTTAGATAATTTAGGAGGGTAACCCCAAGTATTATTCTAAGGCATTGCATCTGGAAAGCCTCTAGTTTGTTTTTGTTTGAGAATAGTCCAGGTTTCAGCACCATATAGTAGTACAGGTAAAATCAAACTCAATGTACATACAGTACATCTTTGTTCCAATATGCACCAAATGAGGTGG